GATGATATAAGACATGTGTGGCAATAACTATTAATCAAATACTGAACATTTATTTGTTGTTAGTGAATGAAGTTGAAATTTTAAGGGAAAKTATTTGAGCTTTCAATCACTTATACTGTGATAATTTTAATGAACTTCTGAGTCAAAACCAGGTCAAAGAGGCAAAACCAAACACTATCTGCTTCCTTAGTTAATGTACCAAAATGTGTGGTTTATACACATTTTAAAAATCAGTTTTAGATGCCATCTTATGAAATTATTTGAAAGAAAAGGACAGAGGGATTCACAACAGAGAACAGAATCACTTGGGAACGTCTCCAAACAAACCAGACAGCCCTACTTACAAATAAAAAGTGAGGGGAAGTTAAACCAGGCGATCAGATGACACTGCGACTACAAAAAATGGCTCACAACTTTGACACAAATGCAAATAATAAAACGAGGTGAATGCAAGTGATACATAGTGTAATAAAATAAAATAAAACATTTAAACATCATGCAATAAGATTATAAATCCACCCAAACAAACTGATGACTTCTTAGAAGATAAAAATAGAAATTGGGGCATTTTTTTTCCACACCATTTACAAAAACATGATTAAATTTTTTTTGAAGCAAGTCTTCAGAATCAGTGCACAGGTTGGATTTTTAACTTGTTAGGGTGAACAGGAAAAAAAAGTATGAAAATGTTTGACTTTGGAAGTGAAAACCTTGAAACTGCAGGGTACAAAGCTCAAAAGATCATCTAGCAAAATGTCATGCCACAGATGATGAGACCAAAATACAAAAACGTATTTTGGGAAAAATTTTCAAATTGGCGGGAATGATGTCTTTGCAACAAAACATAAAAAGCAACAAAACACAAGGAGATAGCATTGACTTTAAAACATCTCAAAAAACTCAAAGCATGCAGCTTTCAATCAAAGTGATGTTAGGGTTAGAATGATGTGAATTTCTGTGTAAACACATGACTGGATGACTGGGGCCCTGTCTTTGTCTTTCTTCACAAATCCCCATGAATCTCAGGCTAAACAGCACCGTTGGAAACCCATTTACACGACAAGATTTCACATTCTCTCTGAAAAAATTTGGGAATGACTTCAGGATGAGCAAATCAGCAGAATGACAGAAACTCTTATCTTTGTTTACATGTAAATTTTTTATAAGTTTCTTAAAAAATCTCATTCAAATATTTCTGAGTTTACTCATATAGTTTAAAAGCCAATTTATTTAATATTTTTGACGTAATTCAGAAAGTATCTCTACTTTAAATTTATCAGTTTGGTTGATTTTTGCATTTAATTTTTAAATCATGCCTAAAAATCTATAATCACATTCATTCAATGATCACTCGCGTATGTTTAAGAACACGTCTTATCATAAAATAGAGAAATTCCCAAATTCTTTCAAATTGCTAATCTGAAGTGATCACATTTTGAATTTGTCATATTTGGATACATAAAAGACAGAATAACGAGTAAAAGAAGCAACAAAATGACCCAAAGGAAAGTAAAAAAAAATAAATCCTATACACAGAAATTCAATGATATCTGTTCTCTATCACCAATTCAAGCCTCTAAATGTGGAATAAAACAAAGCAAAACACAAATGACAACAAAAAAGGTATGGATGTAATCTGGAGATTATTATTAATTCTAAAAACAACAATAATAATAAAACAATCTGCTTTAAAGTGAAACTCAGGAGAGCAATGAGCTGTAATGTGATGGGAAACATTTAGCAGCATCAGTGCAGAGAACATGGTTCACTTTCATACAAATTTGGCTCATTTGTGTTGAAATATTTGAGCTTTAATTGTTCCTGTCTGCGGCCAACATTTGTATGTGTTCTGATAACCATGTTGACCACTTTTAAAAACCCCATGTGCAAGTGTAGCTCATGAGAACGCAGCTTCTCTACTGCTAGCTAAAACAAAAACTCTACAAAAACTACAGCAGCTTTTTTTTTCTACTTGCATTGAATAGTTTAGTTTTCCTCAGATTTACATCTTTCTGCGCTGGAGGCTGTTTTATGAAGTTACACTTTGTCTAACCATGGGGTGGGGGGTGATGCTCTGAGGATGCTCCYATCCTCTGCTGCAGATGGGTGAGAGCACAGAGAAGGCAAGCGAAAGCAAACTAACCTAGCCCACCTGCAATGCTCCTGTCGCACTCCTCCAGGTCTTCATCGTCGCTGGAGCACTCTGCGGAGGAAACCATCTCCTCTGATGGGTGCTTCTAGCAGGGCCGACGGCCGGAGTGAAGACACAAAAACAGAAAACAGAGAAGACAGAAATGAGCTTTGATACTCAGACTTGATGTTTAATCACACTTCATAACAACTACACCTTATTTAGCCTTACTTAATCATTAATAAATGCTTATTTAACTATGAAAACATCAATAATTAAGGATGATTTATACTTAATAGGCAATAAACACACTTATTAATGCTTTACCTATAAAGGTTAAGTCATAAAACCACAAAAACTGGGAAAGTCAAAYTACTTTTACACACTCTCTAAGAAATAAACTGTTGAATTTACTTAACTGAACTGGTTCCACCAAGCCAGGTTGAGTAAACTGAGCAATATATGTATTATTTATTATTATTATTTATGTATTATTTATTTGCTCACTAGGCTTAGTGGAGCCAGTTGACTTGACTTTATTGAGTAAATTCAACACTTCATTTTTTAGAGTGCAGAAACATCTTTTTTCATGATGAGTTCAAACATATTTAATTTGGTAAAGAGTGATTGGTGATGAATTTTAATGTAAAGAAGTAAAAGTATCATTTTAGCTTTGAAATGTAACAAATTAAAAGTAAAATTACATTTAAAAAATATTTGGTAAAATTATAAATCCTTAAAAAACTAGAAGAGAAGGGAGAACAGTGGAAAAAAGAGGAATTTTAGCTGAAGAAACAAGCTAAAATCAGCAAGCAATAGCTAAAATTAGCACAAGAAGGTGAAAAAAGCATAACCAGAACAAAAATGAGAAAGGTGCTGTAAAGATTTAGAAACATTTTAAAGGATTTTAAGAATGTTGAAAACAGCTCCATTCATTTTCAATGGGAAAAAAGGTGGTTAAATAAAGCGAAATAGCTGAAAAATTATAAAAAGCTGAAATAACAAAAGTCATAGTATCCTTCACATGAATGAGCCGAACATTTTGATATATGATGTGTTGAAATAGCACAAAAATTGTGAAACGAGTTAGATGCTGAAAAACATACAGGAAAAATGATCTCAGTAGTGTGAATTAGGGGTGTAAGAAAATATCGATACACTGAAATATCGCAATATTTCATTTCCCGATACTGTATCG